TCCTGCTATCTATACCACACAAGAACTTAGTGATGCTCGCTCTGGAAAGTATTCGCAGTCGTATTGCGCACAGTATAATCAAACCATGGCTCATGTGCATGAACAAAGAAATGCCGTGTCAAGGTAACGATTGTGAGGTACATATGTCTCCAAGACGAACATGTACAAAATGGCACCTTCTGGAGCACCATCGCTAAACAGAGTCGTTTGTGGGTACTCTAACTACCAGCACACCTTGATAGACACCTTCCTCCACACGATTTACAATATCCCTATCCACTAGGGCGCAGATACATCACAACTCTCACCATCTCGAATGGAGTCGTCGGCGTCAACCACCCAGCACAGCTCGGTGACGAACGCCCTCCCACTGATTCCATTCCCATTTTGCGGCGATAAGATGCTCACCATTGTGTGTGGGCAGATTAGATCCAGGACGGGAGATTGTCTCTACAAGTGTATCAAAAGATATGTAAGTTTTCATCCCCACCTCAATCCATCTAGTACCAGAAAATCCAGTGCCTGAATCTTTTTCTTACTAAATGCAGACCAGGAAATGCCATTTTTATGACTGACACGAGGGCTACAAGAAGTGCCTCCAGGAAATCAAGAAGCAACTGCCCCAGTTGACCAGATCCCCTTGTATCAGCCACCACCAGCCCTGCCTGCCATCATCTCCAATGCCAACGGCTCAACGCAGTCACACGCTTGGCCCAAGATCAAATTAGGCTCAACATCATGCTTGCGGTCACAAACCTGATGGTCACAGTGCTTTGTGACAGCTATCTACATCATGACGTTTAGTGTGTTTTCATGTATCGTTATAATAGAGGAAAAGGTGTGACATCTTTTGATGAGATGGTAGCTATCGTTTTGGAGGAAGTAGACATTGACGATTTGACTACGAACGTGTGATGATGTTGTGCCTTAACAACCACTAAACCAACTATGATGAGGTTATTAACCATGCCAGGGCACAATCGACGTGACCACGAAGGTCTATTTCCTACAAGCAATCGCAGAACCAGCAAGAAACTGAGATTACAATCTGGATATTGCGAATATAAGAGGAAAGCTTTATTAATCAAGTAGGGTTCTGTGACGTCTTTGTCTGGTCGTTGAACACAACTGAAGTACACGAGTTGCAGCTATTGCAAACTTTAATCTAAACAACACCCGAAATCTAAACAATGCCTTAAGGGTTGTATTTGTAGGTGGAAAGAGAGGGGATTTCATCCCCTTAGGTGGGACTAAAACACCTCCTGAGTCATTTCCAATACAATACAGACTCTAAAAAATAGCCTATAAGTAGTATTTTGAAATTACATGGGCCTGGCCCAAAAATAAGGTGGCGTAGGACCTATATTAAGCTATGGGTGAAATTTATGTAAGGGCATCTTGTATATTTCATCCATGTCCTTGTACGTCATCATGGTGACTCCCAAGTGCTGAAAACTCCACCAGAAACTCCATTCTTATTCCCCTTCTACATGCCATCATCTCCACGCTTGATCATGCTCCAATGTTCATCCTTCTTGTCCAAGCTAGGCCCTCCATTTCTAAGAAAAACAAATGTATCCAATTGAGGCAGCATCATATTCTCATTAGAATCGTTACAAAGAAACAAAACTACCTGCTAATTTAATTGGCGTGCACAAGATTTAGTAATAGGTCCCATGTAAGTAACAGCAGGGCTGTGGGTATAACTGTGATAGTGATGTCCTCATCATCCCCCCCTTCCTTAATTGCAGTCACCCTCGATGGAAGCTCATCTTTCGCACTCAAGTAAGGCTTCAAATCTGCAATGTTAAAAGTGGGACTAACCCCAAAATCTGCAGGTAGCTCAAGTTTATATCAATTATCATTTATTTTCTCTAACACCTTAAATGGAACATCAACACGTGGCATTAGCTTTGACTTGTGCAAATCAGGAAACCTACTCTTACGCAAATGTAACCAAACAAGATCTCTAGGTGCAAAGACAACTCGTTTTCTACCCTTATCTCCAGCAAGTTTATATTTAGCATTCATGCGCTCACTATTTTCCTTAGTTAACTCATGCATTTTTAAGACTAATTAAGCATGTTGTTTATCATCAAAATTAACCTTCTTCGAAGAAGGAAGAGGCAACAAATTAATGGGTGCATGAGGTAGGAAACCATACACAATCTCAAAAGGGCACATCTTAATAGTAGAATGTAGCAAACGATTATAAGCAAATTCAATATGAGGCAAGAATTCTTCTCACATTTTAAGGTTAGTCTTCAAAATAGCCCTAAGCATAGTAGACATGTTCTATTAACTACTTCAGTTTGTCCATCAGTTTGGGGTGACATGTAGTACTAAAAAGCAGTTTAGCCCCCAACATATCCCATAAACATCTCCAAAAGTGGCTAAGAAATTTAGTATCACTATCTGAATCAATAGTATTTTGCACACCATGCAAGAAAATAATTTCACGAAAGAACAAATTAGCAACTTTTGAAACATCATCACTTTTATGACATGGTATAAAGTTTGTCATTTTCGAAAATCTATCCACGACAACAAATATGCTATCGCCGCCC